TGTTATTAATGTTGGTTTATTATCATATATTTTTGAAATATTATATGTATCTAACATCACTATAAGAATATCAACATCAGTTAAATTATACCATTCATTTTTTCTTCTATAAAGATAAACTATATTCCAATTCAGCATTCTTTCTAACGAATATGCAAATTCTTTAGCTGTAAATAGATCACCTGATAATGGATTACGTTTTGGGTTAGAAACAGCAAATGCAATCGTTGGTTTTTGTAAATGATTATTGTTGAGATTATGATGATATCTTGAAAGTTCTTCACGTGCGTCATAATTATTTCTTGCCAAGTAATACGATTGGCCAATTGTTACACTTTTCCAGTGATATATGAATGCACTTCTACAAAGTGTTAATGGTATAGAATTATGGTTTAGTCGTACGATAACTTCATCTTCTTGTCCTACAACTGTATTTTGTGGATCAAAAAGTATTCCTTTCGAATATTCTGCTTTGTAAATACCTGGTTTTCTAAAGCCAAATATAAGTCCATTAAAACGATTATGAACATGATAATGAACATTAGCTTGCGTATTATCACGAAATAAAATTTGAAGATTATCTTGAACTAATTGATAATTAATTGGATCATTAACAAAATCTATTTCATCTTTTGTTAAATTAAAACGATATTCAATAGATTGTTCAGGACAATGACCAACTCCTTTTAATCTACTCATACATGTAACGAAGGGATATTTCATTAAAAATTTATTTAATTCTGTTATAGCACCCTTCGGAATAAGTATATCATTATTAGCTATTAATAAATTAGTATAATCACTTTTTTTCCATAATTGATATCCTAAATTCCATGAATATGTTAAACCATGAGGTCTATCATTTGATATGATTGAATATTTATGAGATTTAATGTATTCTACAGTCTTATCTGTACTAGCATCATCAATAAATAAAATATCCAAATTATCTTCTAGTACAGATAGACTTCTCATGCACTGTTTTGTTACATCAAGATGATTATTTGTTGTGATAACTAATAAAGTTGATGCAGATTTATTGAAATGATTTATCGGTTTAATCAGCTCATGAAATGTATCTTCTTTATTAGTTGTCGATCGTAACCTAATCCCTTGCATCGTACTTATTGACTCCAAAAGACGTAGATCATAATGGAGTATAAAAAATAGAACTAATAGACATGAAAGAGTCATTAATTTCCATTTGACCCTATGTTTGATTAAACCAAGTCTTGACATGTTTGTTGATTATGACTCGAAACGGTAGAACAAAATGAACGATGCTTGATACGATTGAAAGCAGTAAAAGTATTTATATCAGTAAAGAATTTCTGTCTAGTTTTGTATGTCTAAATACATATATATAACTATATGAATAATTCGATTGGCAGATAAGAACTTTTTGAAGCTTCAGAGTGTCGATCGGGTGTGGATGTGACTGACTATGAAGAGAAGACTCACACCCACATCCTGTTTTGGGTAAATATTGTTGAGAATAGCTTCATCAAATTATATCCAAGCAAGGTTTCTCTACCATATTTGTCAAAAGTAGCCTGTCAAATTCAACTTTTTGAATACAACGGTTTTGTCATATAACTAACGAGGGAACATTCTCAAGTGATACCAACTACTCGGGCTCATATTTTGTTCATAAGTAGGATCTAGTAAGACTAGAAAAGTCTAAAATATTTCGTGCCATTCGATCTTTCTTTTAAAGTTATGACCGTTTTACTGAATTTTCGACCTTGAGTAAGGAATTTATAGAAAAATTGAATGATGAAATTTTGAGCTGAAATTTTGCCTAAGAATAGGTCTCATTAATATTAGAAGATAGTAAAAATTTTAGTTAAAACGGATATTTCTTTATCGAGATATTGCATACCGAATAGAAGTCAATTTTATGAACATTTTTTGGAAAATGATCGTTTTCTTCAATATGCAATATCTCAAGAAGGAAGTGTCAGTTTTAACTGAAAGTTTTACTACGTTCTAATATCAATGAGACCTATTTTTAGGCAAAATTTCAGCTCAAAATTCCATCATTCAATTTTTCGACAAATTCCTTACTCAAGGTCGAAAATTCAGTAAAACGGTCATAGCTTTAAAACAAAGATCTAATGGCATGAAATATTTTAGACTTTCTCTAGTCTCACTAGATCCTACTTATGAGCAAAATATGAGCCCGAATGGTTGATATCACTTGGAAATGTTCTCTCGTAAGTGAAATATCAGAGATTCACTAACATTTGTATCAGAACGGATTTTCTTGAAAAAATCTACTAAAGGCTGCTGGAAGTTTTGAATCAACGCAACAAATGCTTCGTAATTCTTACTTTTTCTTCCATTCCATATCCTGAAAAATATATCAGCCTACAACTCTTATCAACCATTTTTTACGAAAGTGTCTGATAGCAATTTCAATTGTACGTTTATTCAAATTATGATATTTTGCACAATGAAAATCTAGAATGTAAGAAAAAGAAATTTTAAAAATTTTATCTTTCACTAAAATGTTAGTCATAATGATTCACCTAAGTTCGTTAATGCAACTGTCATATCATTTGCATCCTTGACACAACTTTGTAATTTTGCTTTACCACTGTGCTCATCATTTGCGAAGACCAAAGGATATGGGTGGGGGTGTGGATTTACTCTTTATTCAATCAACAATCACACTCACACCCATAAATTCTCTTAAAGAGTGTGATTTTGAATGTTGAGAGCCCGCTTTGCTAATTATAAGAACATTCGGCTTCCATCAAAATCTCTTGTTTGAATCTTGAATGGACTTAATATTAACATCTCGAAAAACTGCATATTTATTTGATCGGTGGTTTTTCTATTTAATTAATCGTCAAGAACTGCTCATAAGCAGTTCTTGAGGAAACGATGTTTCATATCACATCGTTTAAACGATGGTATATTGACCAAATTACGCGTTTATCGCAAAAAACGATTTTGTATGTCATAAAGTAATATTATGTTCTTGTCGTTTAAACTTCGAATTGTATATGTCATAAATAGTGATTCGTTGACGTTAAAACCATAATTTTTTATTATTTCATCTGTCGTAAACGATTCTTTGCTTGAAAAAAAGGTTTAATATTCAAGAATCATCTTCGTCTTACTTGTAACTTGGCCATTCATCTAATTTTATTAATTTGATGATGGACAATACACGTTCGTTCTTTTTTTCAATATCTCAATACATTCCCAATGAGTAGGTCTCATTTTGTTTTCGAAAAAGCAGAAGTCAAATTTTCAACAAGTTAAAATATTTTTTTAAAGAAATGAAAGTTCATGCATCTGTAAAACATAAGACATGAGTAGAAGTCGTTTCTACAAACTTTTCTTTTTGTTTTGATATTTGTTCAAAAGACTTCTACTCATGCCTTATGTTTTAAAGATGCATGAACTTTCATTTCTTTAAATAAATATTTTAACTTATTGAAAATTGAACGTCTGCTTTTTCGAAAACAAAATGAGACCTACTCATTAGAATGCGTTTAGATATTACAAAAATCTGACTACACTCTTTCTTCTGACACATCGATCGTTTTTTAGAATTTTTTTTCTATACTCTTAGCAGGTAATTAGAAATTTGTCGATCGCTCAAGGATGATGCGTTTGTCTTACATCTGATAAATATTCTATCGAAATCTTCTCAAGTTTTCGTTATGAATTCTCAAGTCTAGTTTATTCTAATATCTGTGGAGAAATATATAATTAGTTACAAAGTTGTGATTTATGACAATCTCGATGAATAATGAAAGAAGAATCTAAATTAGTTTATTAGTATCAGATATGTATGTGATAACGAAACTTAGATTTTTAAGAAGAATTAATGAATTGATACGACAAACGAAAAATTCTGGGGGAAAACTACCATAGATAAAACGATGTCAATTTTTTGGTATATTTTATCAAAAGAAAACATTGAACAGCAACACTATTGACGTACTTCTAAAATTTATTCATTGTTGAGACTATTTTCTTTCTCATTCTTTAACAGTCGTCTGTCATAGATAAAAAATAATTTATTGCTACAAAAGTTAATAGAGCACCTAAGTTTTTTATTTGATTACTGTAATCTTTATGACTTACGCATATTTATCATCTAGTTGTTCTTTTAAGATTTATACTGAAAACGGAATATATACTCAGCATTATATTCTTTTTATGGTATAAGAGTGAAAAAATTAAAGTTTCTTCGCATAAGAGTTTCAATCGACGACGAACTCAGTAAAATAACAAGCTCTAAAATGAAATCATTAATGAAACTAAGCTATTTAATATTTTTTTCAACTGATTTATTAAGATCAATCAGTGTGATGTTTCTTTCTAACTACAAACATTATCAAACACAAATAAATAGACAGAAGAAGAATATATATAAGAGTAAAATAATGTCTTTGTTTTTCTATTCTATTGTTTTAAACATTCTAATGCAGACGTATATAACCGTTATATAACCGTTTCAGAGACTATTTAATGTGAATAACGCTTGGAAACGCTGACTAGACGTAAAAACGGCAAGAAAAGTGATCATCACGTTTTTTCTTGCCGTTTATCACCGTTTCCTAACAGAACGGGTGATTATGACAGTTTAAACGGCATTTTCAGCGTTTCACTTCTTCCTGGGCTACGTTAATAATTTTCTCGATTTGCTAAATATACTTTATCCTTTATCCATATTTAATGAGTGTCTTTCGCCTTTTAATCTCTTTGCTATGGTTTGTTTCAGATGTTTGTGATCTATTTCTCATTCTTTTGAGTTTTGCTAATAAGCTATGCTGTTCTCGTTTTGTACAACTGGAAAAAGATCATTTTTCAGTAAGTTCAGCAGTGAAGCTAACGCTGAACCATGCGTGCTTATAAAAGAAATAGAGAGCTTAGAATCTTGTACAAGGCGATATGTAGTTTCGCACCAGGCATACGAAATCTTCTAGTACCTAAAGAAACCATACAAAGTTGCATGAAGGGTGTGAGTGTGGGTGGGTGGTATGGGTGTGGATTGTGCGTGGGGTGTGGGTGGGCGTGGGTGTGCGGTGTGGGTATTCGTGTGGATCTCTTCACATCTTCTGAAAATCGCGACACTCACACACCCACATCCACACCCCATACCCACGCCCACACCCACACCCACACCCACCCACATCCACACCCACACCCACCCACATCCACACCCACACCCCACCCACACCCCACACCCACACCCACACCCCACACCCACCCACACCCACACCCCACACCACCGACACCCACACCCCACACCCACACCCAATATATACCATGCTGTAGAGCTTTTCGAGGTGCATCGAATGGTATATAGCAAATTCTGTTTCCATAAGACTTTGAAGGAATTAGAGTCAATTTACTGACAGAGGACTCTACGCCCATGTTCACATCCATCCACATCTACATCCACAAGATGACTGGAAATGCTACGTATATCATGTTATAGTCCGTCAAAAACTCTATAAAATCGTATGTGAGAAAAAAATGTTTTACAAATACTTTCGATTAATATCAAGGACCGCAATATCCATTAACTTATTATGCTTAGGTATGGGTGCAGGTATGAATGCGTGTAGATGTGTAGTCGTCTATCAGTAAATTGATTCTAATTCCTTCAAAGCCTTATGGAAACAGAATTTGCTATATACCATTCGATGTGCCTCGAAAAGCTCTACAACATGGTATAGTTGGTTCCTCATTTCTGAATAGGTTATCCTATCCGACGATGTCCTTTAAACACCGTGACCAGAACTTTTGGTTTACCCTAAGTAACAGTTTTGACAGATAAGTCTATAAGCTTGATCATGTGAAACTTCTTCAAAATCCGGTTTTAAAATATTCTTTATTTTTATTCAATAATTTTAGTAGAATTATTCAAGTTTGCTTCATAATTCACCTTAATTTCAGAATTTTCTGATCAAAATTTATCGTCCACCGATTGAAATTAAAACTAAAATTCGCCTGCATTTTTGACTAAGATATAGTAATAATGAATTTTCACGTTGTGAATTTTAAAAAAATTACTAAATATTGACCTCATGCTTCCCCATGTAAATCGGTTGATTACCACATATTGCACGTCATATTTATTCAATAAGTGA